GGTAGTCGAATGCTGATTACGAACACAATATTAGTTTTTGAAATCGTCCATTATTTTTATCGATTTTAGAGATTTTTTTGCAAAGCTTGAGCTACTGGGCTGGGAGTTGGCGCAGTGGGGTGATCAAGCATGATGATTACCCCTCTGTGCCAACTGCTGAGTACAGCATTAGCTTGGCGCTATTCGGCTATCCGAGGTGGTTATTTTGACTTCCTACCGTACACCCGATAGGTGTACGGTAGGAAGTCAAAATCATGCATTCGACTGGAGTTCGGTCTAGAGAACTTATTCGACATGCTGATTACAAATTTTTCATACTCTCTGCATATTGAGACCTATTCATAGAGTTATGGTGGTTACGCGGCATTGTGTCGAAAACATATTGCTTTGAACTTTGTCTAAGGTGGTCATTTAGCGCGCTGAACATGAATATCATGCTGATTTCGCAGGATAGTGCATTTTCTTGGGTTACGGTTAGATGGGTCGAAGTTCCAGATTTGCTCAAAACCTTACCTGTAACGGTTCAGAAGTATACTGCTTATGAATATGATGCTTGCTCGCTGTCATAACGCATTAGTGAAGTTATGGTGAGTAGCGGGGTTGGAACGGACATTTTTTCGCTTTCGGGCCAATTTAGATCCCAGATATTCACAAAATGGGGAAACGGTCGTTTTGCATGGCGGTCTCCAGCGCCATCCTGATAATCTGTCCCAACGCATAACGAACGCTGCAAATCTCCCTCCCCCTGTTTTTGCTTAAGCAAAAGCCGCCGAAAGCCGTGTATCGCGCGCGGCAGTGGTCCTATAAGGAAAGCATTACGGTCGTGGGAAACTTAATATTACAGGAATTGCCATTATTGTAGGGGTTAAGCACGATATTTTTGGAACAACACTTTAGGTAATTCCCTGCCAAGATTTCAGGCAGGTTCATGATTTTTACCTGCTGCCACGCGAAATGATTACGATATTCGTCGTCAGCGGCTTGAATAACCCCCATAAAGTAACCCCCCCCCCCCCACCCAGTTTGAGCAAGATCCATCACAAAGACATTTTAGGGCCCGGGTAGCCGAAAACGCCATCAGTTTTTAGAATTATCCCTACTTTTATCGATTTTATTGTTTTTTTGCAAAGTTTGAGCTGCGGGGCTGGGAGGTTGGTGAGGAATCTAGGTAAGCATACTGATTACTAACAGAGCGGGATTAAGGAATCGCATGTAGAAGTGGGCACAGGTAAAGGTGCACAGGGGTAGAAATGTAACCTTCATCGTTTTTGACAGGGCCGGGCGGAGCCGGGTAAGCCAACTAGTAATATATAATATGTATTAGGTTGTCCGAAAATTAATGTCCGTTTTGAATTTCAACCGCAATAAATCATACACTTTTCATTTTTGAATAGGCTTCAAGATACCATTCAATATAGCAAAGCAAGCTCTACAAGATGGCGATCTCGCTTGAGCAACAGCTCTGATCCGCCTCGAGTTTCGAGCTAAAAACTAAAAAGATTCAACTGCCTGAAAATTCGAGAAAAATTATAACTCAGTTCAAAAGAATCCTACAAAAATTCTAACTTGCTCACGTAAACAATATGCACATAAGACATATATGTACGCCGTTGCCTTTTTTCTTCTTCTGTTAGAAATCAAGAAAACGAAAATTTACATGCTTTTGCCAAAGTGATGCTGTGTTGTCCTCACCTAAGTAAATGTTTACTACAAACCGTAGAGGTACAAACTTAAATTTTCAGCCGTCTACAAGCTTTAGCTCGAGAAATTTGAATTTCAGATTGGACCACCTGATTAACAAAAGCTATATTCGATATTTCTCAAGAACTAAAACTTGTGGAGAGCTGAAAATTTACGTCTGTACTTCTACAGGTTTGTAGTATGCATCTACTTATGTGGGGACGACACAGCATCACTTTGGCAAAAGCATGTAAAATTTCGTTTTCTTGATTTCTAACAGAGGAAAAAAATGGCAACTGCGTATGTCTTATGTGGATAGGGTATACGTGAGCAAGTTAGAATTTTTGTAGGGTTCTTTTGAACTGAGTTATGATTTTTCTCGATTTTTCAGGCAGTTGAATCTTTTTAGTTTTTGGCTCGGAAACTCGAGATGGATTAGAGCTGGCGCTAAAGCGAGACAACCTTCTTGTAGAGCTTGCTTCGCTCTATCGAATGGTGTCTTGTAGCCTAATCAGGAATGAAAAGTATGATTTATTGCGGTTGAACTCCAAAACGGACATTAATTTCCGGACACCTAATACAAAATATGAAATATATATTAGGTCGTTCCGAAAGTAATGTCGCTTTTTTCAAACGTACACCACATCTCGTGGAACAAAGATATGTAAGAGATTCTAGTAGCATATGATGCAGCATTTCATTCTCTTTCTAATGGCTACATAATCACTGCACAAAATCCAATAACCTCTAGAAAAATTATCAAAATCTGCGACCCATGCTTTTTGAGGAGGCCAAGTTTCACAATTTTTCTAAATTTTTACAATAACCCTCGGAAGAAATCCAAGTAATGGATGGATACAGCAAACCCTACAGGAAACAGCACAACTTTTTTCAACTGTCCAGAGCTCGTCATAATTTTTGTATAGATTTTTTGTTAGAGCCACCGAATTTTAGCAGGCTTGTCTTAGACACAAATGCATCAAACACCAGTAAATCTTCGGATTTTGAAACTTACAAAGATGGATTATGGTTTGACACTAATTTTACAAAGCAAATGAGCGTTTACCGCTTAAGATTAGCAACTTTTGAAAATTCCAGATACAGCCTGGGCGTCCTGGAAAACCTGAATTATGATGATTTTATCCCGAAAAACTTGATGAATCGGAAATAAAGAACAGCAGGTAGAAAGAGGAGAAAAGGCTGCGTCGAATGACACCAGAGGTGCTTGCCCGTTGTTGTTCTGTGACGTTTGAGTTGACTAAATATGGAATTTGATGACATTGAAAAATTGGTTCCAGAAAGTTTAAAAAGCAAGCTAACGAAACGAAAAAAATTACTTTGTGTCCTGTAGGATTTGCTCTATCTACCCGCCACTTGCACTTCTTCGGAGAGTAGGTACACAAATTCAGAAAAATAGCCGAACTTGACCATGGCAAAAAGCATGAGTCGCATTTTGGTATTTTCTCGAGGGCTCATTGAAGATTATGCAATAAAGTTAAAAGTTTGAAAGAGAATGAAATGCTGTATCGAATACTCCTGAGATTTCTTGAAAATCTTGATTCCATGAAATGTGGCGTTTATTTGAAAAAAGCGACATTACTTTCGGAACGACCTATTAGGTTGATGCATAATTCCTGCACCAAAATAGGTACAAACCGCAATAACTCGGAGTAATCCTATATCCCAAGTAGGATTCGATATATTATTTGATAGCGCAAGCCTAGCTCTACAAGACAGTGCTCAAATATCTACACCAGCTTTGATCCACGCAAAGATTTGAGCCAAAAACTGAAAAAAACCATGCGTCCGAAAACCTTAAGACAGTCCTTAAAAAATTGTAACTTTGTTCAAAAAGCTCATACAAATTTTCTTTCTTACTCACGCGTAGACGTTCCACATAAGACATTTATCTATGCGGTTGCTGTATTTTTCTCTCAACTAGACGATGAGAAAACGAAGTTTTTCATGTTTTTTCCAAAACAATGCTGAGATGTTCTAGCACTGACAGATGCATACTATAGGACCTTCAAAGTGTGAATGTGAATTTTCAGCTCTTTAGAGCAGCTGTTTTACGAGAAATATCGAATTTTTAGCAACTAGGCAAGAAAAATTTGGATAAGGAGAGCTAAATTCGTTATTTCTCGCGAACTAGCAGTTCTAGAAGGCTGAAAATGTAAGGTTTCACTGCTAACACGGCATGTACTATACAACTGTTAATACTAGAACATCTCAGCACTAATTTGGCAAAAACATGAAAAACGTCAAAAAACTTCGTTTTTTCATCGCCTAGTTGAGAAAAAAATACAGCAACCGCATAGATAAATGTCTTACGTGGAACGTCTACGCGTGAGCAAGAAAGAAAATTTGTATGAGCTTTTTGAACGAAGTTACAATTTTTTTAAGATCTGTCTTAAGGTTTTCGGACGCATGGTTTTTTTCAGTTTTTGGCTCAAAACTTCGCGTGGATCAAAGCTGGTGTAGATATTTGAGCACTATCTTGTAGAGCTAGGTTAGCGCTATCAAACGATATATCGAATCCTACTTGGGATATGGGATTACTCCGAGTTATTGTGGTCTGTACCTATTTTGGTGCAGGAATTATGCATCAACCTAATAATATGATATCAAATACCAGTCCAAAGCGCCGCTTCGCGGCGCTTTGGACTGGCCGTGTGTGAAGTGGGATATGCTTGAAAGTTGAAAGTATTAAGGTTTTCTGGTCAGCAAATAATTTTTAGATAGAAGAAAACGTAAGAACTATTTAACTTGTAATGCTTCTTCTTTGAAATAATACTTCATAATTAGGATATATGGATAATAGACTGTGCGGTCGCGCGCTTTTATTTGGCGTATGCGTGAAGTTCTTCACAACTTTTTGCTCGTACCCAGAATGTGTACAAAGACTTTTGATTGGAAATTTGACTCAATGGTTTATATCTTGTAAGACGTGACATTTACAGTACGCTACGATGATTTCAAGCTGCCTAAAAATCTCAACTGCTAATGACTTGAGCATGAAATTTGTGAAATTCAAAGTGAAATGTAGAGAACAACAGTAACAAAAATACGGCATGAATCGGAAAAACAGCACTGGAGGATAAGTGATCATGTCGATTAACGACATTAGCGAAACGGATACCTTTTAAAATAAACGCAGAAGTACATTAAGTTTATCACAAAGATGTTCAATGTCTTACCATTTACGTAAAGACGGAGTGAGTACTTAGGTAACAACAGCAACAGAAATATTAGTAGCAAGTGAGGGATAATAGAAAGTTAGTGTAAATAAGTAGCTGCGACGGGTCATTTTATAATGGTTACTACCCTGTAGCGTACTGTGCGAATTTCGTTTTGGTGAGCGCATTAATACAAAGCACTTCAAAAATGTGAACAGACGCAACGTATCTAGGATATTTTTTAAAGCCAAGGCAGGTGCTCATTTCAGTGGGATACGCTACTATCCAATCCATCCACTCCACAATCGATAATTTATTTAAGGCTCGTATTGCTTAAAGAGAAATGAGTGAAGTGGATAGAGTGAACAATCATAGCATGCGTCAAACCAAGTTGTCTTATTCACGAAGGCACATTTTTTGTAGGAGCCGTAACACTTCGGCCCATTTGTAAGGAGCATTTCTATATAGATAAGTGTCACTCAGTTGAGAACCGCTCTGATCACCACATTTTTCACTCTCTCCTCCTTTTTGTGCACTCTAATTTTTTCCATTCGTCGGGCTCTAGACAGAGCCACATATAGCTGACCGTGCGAAAATACCTCAGATTCAAGGGAGATGCCCACGCTAGTGAAGGTCTGTCCCTGAGCCTTATTTATCGTCATAGCAAATGATAAACGGACAGGAAATTGCCTTCTTCGCAATCGGAAAGGTACTCCTATTTCAGTGTAGTTGTCTATGCGTGGTATCAGCACTAATTTTCCTTTCCTATCCCCTGATGCGAACCGACATGCTAGGATAAAACGCCCAAAATGAGTGACGATCAGTCTTGTCCCATTGCATAGCCCATTCCTAATATCGAGATTTCTCAATAGCATGACTATCGAGCCCTCTTTCATCCGAAGATTGTGAGGAGGCAGCCCAGCAGGCGCCAAGCTGTTGAGAAATTCGATCGTATACTCGTTCTGTGGTTCATCGCTAATCACATCGTCAACGCTCTTATACTCGTAAATTTGTCCAGGGAGTTTTTTCAGTGCTTCTTCATTAATACGATATGCTTCGATATTCCGAGGTGCTAGTATTGCACGTTCACTCAAGGTATGAAAATCAGTCAACGAATCACCGAAGACTTCACTGATAAGATCGTCTTCAGAGATGATTTCAGTTGGAAGCTCTATGCGGCCCATCTCATCTTCTTCTACTTCTCCGTTTCCATTTCGCATCAGAAGATCACACCAAGTCGAGCCAGATTCTGCAGCTCTAATATTGACAGAGAGCTGATGCATAGTGAAGCAGATCCACAGGTCGCTGTTCTTTACACATGCATCAATCATATCTCCTTCGCTTCCTCGCTCTACAATTGGCAGCACTTGCCGAAAATCACCACCCAATACGACTATTTTCCCACCAAAAGGTGCTGTATTGCACATCAAATCCTGCAGAAAAAGATCAATAGCTTCGAGTGAGGACTTCGAAACCATGCTCACTTCGTCCCAAATAATAACATCTGCTTCTTTGAGAGGGACGGCATCTTTGTCTTTACGTCGTAATGAGCACTGACGATTTCCGGACTTTATGTTGAGCTTGAAAGTCGAACTGGCTGTTTTACCTTCAGGCAATAGGTTTGCAGCTATGCCAGTCCATGCTACACATATGACACGTCTGTGTTGGCCCTTCAAGATGTGGTAAATGGCATTATAGAGGTAGGTCTTTCCGCTACCGCCGGGACCATCAACAAAATGCAGCTTGGAACGGTTGTCTTCAAAAGATGCCAAGATATCATCTGCTGTTGACCTCTGCTGCTCATTGAGATGCTCGTACATCTCACTGCCTTTCCGCTCATGGAAGGCGTAATCAGTGTGATCCGCCAAAACCGGCCTATTTTGTGAGGGTGGCGTGACTGTGACCGAAAGATCGTAACGTAAAAGTTGCAATTTATCGTATAGCTCAAAGTATGCGAGTGCTTCAGCGTCAGCAACTGTATATCCTTTGTGGATAAAATCTTCGGCCATATAACTTTTGAAGCGGTCATATAAATGCCTTGGATTAGACATTTCACAAAAAGCCAGCATGTAAGTGAACAACGCCCGCAACTCCGCAGGCATCTGAAAGTGAACTGCCTCTTCTAAGCACCTTTCATAGTGGGAATCGTCATGCAATAGTCCCAAAGCGCGCGCTGCATCCAAAAATGTTGGATGCACATTACCTGCGACTGTGCGGAGATCTTCGAAAGAACGCATATTCTTTCGGTTAAGTAATAAAATACGTAAACTGAATCTCTCTGGATCAGTGGGTGTGACCATGTACATACGACCAATTTGGCGACTACCCCTCTTTCTTCTATTCCACTTTCTTTCTTTACCAAACGTAAAATGCTCTGGCAGCTGATGATAATAGAGCGTTCGAGGATCCAGAAGTCCAGCTACTCTATTTTCGCTTTCCATAAGATCATACTCTTCATTCAGCTTAAACCATGCTGTTAACATGGAATCTCTAGTTGCCTCACGTACAGCCGCCTCACGTTCTTCACCTGACCGAAAAGTGACCGACTGGAAGTCGGGGAGGTGGACAGCCAGACGGTATACAGCAGCAGATTTGTATTGACATTCAAACATAAAAATGTGATGAAGTGCTTCCGGTGAGCACATATATCGTGCATCGAGATGAGCCCGAATCTCGTCAGTTCGTTGCGCTTGACCCTGTTGAAGTAGACGTAAAGATGCTCGATCTGGTCCTTTGTATACATATTTATATAGATACTTGACTGCATGTATGTAGCCGCATATTTCCAGATTTATGTGCGCATTGAGGAGGAGAAGGAGGAATCGGTTGTAAGGCACAACGTGTCTGTTATCGTACACCTCGACTCCACTCGTTACGGTGCGGCCGTCGTCAGGTCTTTTGTATTTTGGGTAACCATCGACATCGATATCCGTTGTTTCCCGGAACTCCTTAGGATAACGCTTCGAGCACTCCCCATTTACCATGCATGGAGCAGTTGGATTGGTTTCTCCACAACGACGGTGGATCATATTTCGCGCGACTATGCTCAGAAGACGTGGATCTTCGGAATCGCTTGGAAGATATGCCTGAACAGCTGCATTGACGGCCTCGGGGGTCCTTGGTTTCGCATCTGCTGCCATTATCAGAAGCATATGGCAGTGAAGAAGGCCTCGCTTTTGCCATTCTACGATCCCCACATAAGCTACAACACATTCCAGAACTTTTTTCTCAAAAAGATACTTTTGCAGCACTTCTAGCTTTTGATGGAATACGCGAGCCACCAAATCGGGTCGGTCCGAAGCCGACTGGCCAGGGTACAGGTTTTCGGCTATTTCCCTCCATTGAGGGTTGCAAGTAAAAGTAAGAAAGTAATCGGGTTTTCCGTATCTTGCAACAATAGCCATCGCGTCTTGATAAGACTGATGCATAGCACGAGGGCTCCCACGAAATGAAGAAGGTAAAATTATGCGCTGTCCCGGAGGCCCGTCTGCACCATCACTGGCCAGATGATCTGTAAGACCCTTATAACTATCAATTCGAAGTTCTTTCTGATGAGTCCGGGTATAATTCAGCCGATTCTGCTCTATTTTAACGTATGCATCGACCACAAATTGCTGCATAAGTTTTCCAGCATGATGAAGCGGATTAAAGGAATCACGTACAGCTAGCATGTTGGAGTAGTACTCGCGCTGTGATATTCTCGTGCGAAGGCGAGTGCTAGGATTCTTTTTCAGATCAACATGCCACCCCTGCCCTCCCCTAGGAAATAGCAGGGGATAAGTCAGCGGATCACAGCAGGCGTCGATGTCCCGAATGGTCTGCAGACGACCTCCTTTATGATGAATGGCAAAAGAGCGATTTGCTGGTACATCATCGTCCTCGCCTACATAGACAACGGCAATTTCGTTGGCGATGGGAACATTGTAGCGACGATGATCTACGTTCCGGGCGTCCTCAAAAACCATTCGGATTGTTGGCACCTGCCTATTCTCGCTAAGGGCTCGTCGCTCTTCCTCTGCAGCTAAATCACCCATCATTTTCAGTGAAGCCGCATAACTATTGTTCGAATGCAACCATGATGTCAGTTGCTGCATTACGGTGGCATCACACTGTGCATTGACCGGATTTCCGCTTCTTTCAGCCGCTGCGGCATCAGTGTCTAGTATATACACTTGTCCAAATTGTCGACGAACACCTGGCTCTGGTGTAATGGGACCTACATAATGGTACACTTGTCCGTGAATCCTGTAACAGTATGGCCCAAAACCACGTGGCGTCTCCACTTGAGCCCCCATTGAAGCCATAGCAAGCGCGCTATTAAATGAGCGGATGTGAGTGCGAAAATTTTTGCAAAGTTGGCTACTTCCAAGGTAAAATGACCGGAAGAGCTCGGGGAAATCAGAAAACAAATTCAGAGAAACATTTCCAAAGTTACAGCAAACATTGAAACGTCCATTGACAGATGTACCCTCGCCAAGAAAGTACAGAGCTGCACAATGAGCGCACCTGACGTTTAGGCGTCCTAGATAGTTCTCTTCTGTGACATTCATAGTTAGCGCTATACCAAGATTAGCGGGTGTTCTTCTCTGAAGATGCACAGCGCTTTCAACAGAACTCATCTGCAAGTTGTTGATCAGATGTCTTTCTTTGTAAACAAAGAGGTTATTCATTCGATCTACCTGAGTGTCCGCTTCCTCTCGCAACTCACTCTCGTTCTCGTTGTGATGCGAAAGAACTTCATTGTTGTTTTGCTTAAAAAATACGGTTGGCCAAGGAATGTGATCTCGAAATAAAATACCCTCTGATCAGATTCGAGCGGATTTTGCGTTGCTCTGACATCCGCTGAACTTGCATTTAATCGTCTCTCCACTTCTAGCACTCTTCTTGTTCTCGCTCTTTTTGCCTCATTGGCAAGGCGTTGACCTTTTCTGTTCGTTTTCCAATGATCTTTTCAATTTAGCCCTCTCTGCTAATGATGCGAGGCGCAGTTTCCGTTCATGTTCAGCATTGGGTCTTCTAGATGCCGCTTGTCTCGCATCAATCGCAAGACGTGATTGGTGTTCATGATCATTCTGCTCAGGTTTTCGACAACCTGGTTGGGTGGTAGTACAGAGTAATTCTGTGGTGGTGAGTCGCTCTGATTCCCCATGGTATTCTTCTACATCGGAACTTAGAACTACGGATGTGCGAGGATCTTCATCGCTTGACTTTTCTCCATTTTGTTCGTGTGGATCAGACTAAATTATGGTAATGGTCACAAAGAAATTTGTCGATAGATGAGAGGCTAACCATTAGTTGATCTTCAATCAAAGCAGCCGCACTGGCAGCTTCACAGTAGTGCGAGGGTGGTGATTGTTGAATATCCTACATTAGATAACATACGATCGAGCGAAACCACTGAAACTGCAATCTTACCAAAGCTTTTGATCCATAAGCACGCGATGTGCTTGGAAATTGATGGTGTAAACCTTCTCCATGGCCGTGTTGTACAGAACTTTCTTGGGAGGATTTCTGCTTGTTTTCATCACTCTTTGTAACTTTACTTCGTTCTTTTATAGCCAACCGTCTCGCTCTCTCTCTTTCCGCATTTTTCGCAAGACGAACTAACTTCTCTTCCTCGGATTCGGCTGTTCTTGTCAGCCTAGCCCTCTTAGCAAGAGCTGCAAGTCGTAAGCTGCGCTCGTGTTCAGTCTCCTTAGCCCTTCCAAATGCTGCTCGTTTGGCATCCGCCGCTAGACGTTGTCTGCGTCTGTCGGCATGAGTTTGAAAACTTTGCAAAGCTGTTAGCTCAACATCTTCTTGCTGGACTTCACTTGATAAGTTTGACGCAAGCTAGAAAATTTTAAGTGTCTTTCTACATCACAAAAGGTATTTTTATGGATCGTTTACCATTTCGTTTTCATTCAAGTAGGCGGCATTTGAGTGAGAGCATTGTTGACTTTCCTCAGGCTCGTCGAATAATGTCTGAGCATGCGACGAACTCAGTGAGTTGTATGTGTCAATTGTGTTTATTGCCAGGTCTTCTTCGGAGGCCGGTATTGATCCAGTTTTACTTGAGAGATGCAAAATCATCTGTAGCACAACTTGTATAGCAGTAATGCGAAATAAACAATGTACGATACGCATAGAATCACGAAATGTCACTTATTCAAAAGGTGAAGTGAGTCATCAGGTCAAAAGCTCAAAGTATTCTACACTTTACTTGTAAACAAATGGTTTCAGAAAGCCTCTATTCATATGCTGAGTTCTCTAAGCACCTTTTACACAGAATGCTTTTACAATTTCTCGAATGCATAGTTTATTAGGATGATCACTCAACATATGTAGCCGTCCAATGTATGTTTCCGCTAAGTCAAAAGCTGAGAATAATGGCCCGCTCCTTAATCAAAAACTGCAAATAGTGTTCTTTCGTCTATTGATGCTAAAGTCAAACTAGTTCAGACAGTTGCACATGAAGACTGCGTAAAATGTCGACCCCCCCCTCGTTTTGTTATTGTTTTATCGACGTTTCGAAATGAGACTGAATTGTTGAATGAAGCTTACGAATTTGGGTTTTACATGGGTTCTTGTTCAAAAAAGAATCGGCACAGGGTCTGGATGCTCATCACAAATCAACTTTTTTCATTTTCTCCACATAAAACCGAAAATTCGATGGAATTACCTAGATCGACGATTTTAGCACTAAGGCGTTCTTGTGTTTGAAGGAGCTAATATATACATTCACAAAAAATTATTGGGAAGGCAAAGAGATGGGATGATATCGTCAGTATGATAGTGCGAGAGTTCAGTTTTTTGTAAACTATAGAAATATATACATTCAGGTCATATAACGCGATTTGCCATTCAAAAAAGTAATGGGAAGGCAAAGAGATGTGATGATATGCGTTAGTATGATAGTGCGAGAGTTGAGTTTTTTGTAAATTACAAAAACACAAACACTGGAGAAAACATGCTTGCAAAACTCAGTAAACAGTGCAATTTTTGTTTGAAACATACGGCGGAAATACTTTACACATGGTGAATGAACAGCCGAGGATCATTTTGCAAATGGGAATTCAAAGCGATAGTATGAAAATGATAAAGAGAGCGAAAAAGAGGCTCAAAAATTCAGCAGAAGTAAATCCAAAGATTTTTTATAGATTTTTTATGAAAATGGTTTTTTGCACGAATTTGGCTGATGAAGCAAGGATTAAAACATGACTATAGCACTCAGAAGCTTGAACACGCATTGCTAAAAGAATGTTAATCTGAAGACGCAATTAAGGCGGCCATAGCAACACTTAGAATTTAGGCATACATTTGTTACAATGAATGTTATTTTGAAAATTGAGACACGGAGTGGTGCGCGTTAATGACAGAGCAATTAGAAAAAAACTGTCAAATCGGTAGAAGATACTAACAAATTTGAAATCCAGTGTGTCGATGGATTGGATGCCTAAGTGGAGTAATGTAAAGAGAGACTGATTCAGTCAACGTGTGTTCTAGACTGTACTTTTGTACTCACAACCATCATACCGTCTTTTCTGAAACTTTTTGAGAATAGTTGTTTACGCATGGGTCGTCTGGCAAATGCCAAGGATCACTGATTGATCGTTCTTTGGATCCAACATTCCAAGAATCACTGCTTGGTCGTTCTCTGGTACTTGCAAAACTCAGTGGACAGTGCAATTTTTGTTTGAAATAACGGCGGAAATACTTTACACATGGTGAATGAACAGCCGAGGATCATTTTGCAAATGGGAGTTCAAAGCGATAGTATGAAAATGATTATGAGAGCGAAAAAGAGGCCCAAAAATTCAGCAGAAGTAAATCCAAGATTTTTTATAGATTTTTTATGAAAATGGTTTTTTGCACGAATTTGGCTGATGAAGCAAGGATTAAAACATGACTATAGCACTCAAAAGCTTGAACACGCACATATTTGCTAAAAGAATGTTAACTGAAGACGCAATTAAAGGCGGCCATAGCAGCACTTAGAATTTAGGCATACATTTGTTACAATGAATGCTATTTTGAAAGAGGAATTGAGACACGGAGTGGTGCGCGTTAATGACAGAGCAATTAGAAAAAAAACTGTCAAATCGGTAGAAGATACTAACAAATTTGAAATCCAGCGTGTCGATGGATTGGATGTCTAAGTGGAGTAATGTAAAGAGAGACTGATTCAGTCAACGTGTGTTCTAGACTGTACTTTTGTACTCACAACCATCATACCGTCTTTTCTGGAACTTTTTGAGAATAGTTGTTTACGCATGGGTCGTCTGGCAAATGCCAAGGATCACTGATTGATCGTTCTTTGAATCCAACATTCCAAGAATCACTGCTTGGTCGTTCTCTGGTACTTGCAAAACTCAGTGGACAGTGCAATTTTTGTTTGAAATAACGGCGGAAATACTTTACACATGGTGAATGAACAGCCGAGGATCATTTTGCAAATGGGAGTTCAAAGCGATAGTATGAAAATGATTATGAGAGCGAAAAAGAGGCCCAAAAATTCAGCAGAAATAAATCCAAAATTTTTTATAGATTTTTTATGAAAATGGTTTTTTGCACGAATTTGGCTGATGAAGCAAGGATTAAAACATGACTATAGCACTCAAAAGCTTGAACACGCACATATTTGCTAAAAGAATGTTAACTGAAGACGCAATTAAAAGCGGCCATTGCAGCACTTAGAATTTAGGCATACATTTGTTACAATGAATGCTATTTTGAAAGAGGAATTGAGACACGGAGTGGTGCGCGTTAATGACAGAGCAATTAGAAAAAAAACTGTCAAATCGGTAGAAGATACTAACAAATTTGAAATCCAGCGTGTCGATGGGTTGGATGTCTAAGTGGAGTAATGTAAAGAGAGACTGATTCAGTCAACGTGTGTTCTAGACTGTACTTTTGTACTCACAACCATCATACCGTCTTTTCTGGAACTTTTTGAGAATAGTTGTTTACGCATGGGTCGTCTGGCAAATGCCAAGGATCACTGATTGATCGTTCTTTGAATCCAACATTCCAAGAATCACTGCTTGGTCGTTCTCTGGTACTTGCAAAACTCAGTGGACAGTGCAATTTTTGTTTGAAATAACGGCGGAAATACTTTACACATGGTGAATGAACAGCCGAGGATCATTTTGCAAATGGGAGTTCAAAGCGATAGTATGAAAATGATAAAGAGAGCGAAAAAGAGGCCCAAAAATTCAGCAGAAGTAAATTCAAAGATGTTTTATGAAAATGGTTTTTTGCACGAATTTGGATGATGAAGCAAGGATTAAAACATGACTATAGCACTCAAAAGCTTGAACACGCACATATTTGCTAAAAGAATGTTAACTGAAGACGCAATTAAGGCGGCCATAGCAGCACTTAGAATTTAGGCATACATTTGTTACAATGAATGTTATTTTGAAAGAGGAATTCAGACACGGAGTGGTGCGCATTAATGACAGAGCAATCAGAAAAAACCGTCAAATCGGTAGAAGATACTAACAAATTTGAAATCGAGTGTGTTGATGGATTGGAAGCCTAAGTGGAGTAATGTAGAGAGAGACTGATTCAGTCAACATGTGTTCTAGACTGTACTTTTGTACTCACAACCATCATACCCTCTTTTCTGGAACTTTTTGAGAATAGTTGTTTACGCATGGGTCGTCTGGCAAATGCCAAGGATCACTGATTGATCGTTCTTTGGATCCAACATTCCAAGGATCACTGCTTGGTCGTTCACTGGATCCGACATACACACTTGTTTACGCCGACAAATGCGCTGAGTCATATGGGGGTGCTTGCGCTTTATATAGAGTAGGATATTAGGTTGGTCCGAAAGTTCGTTCGCACCATTTTCAAAAAATCATAACTTCCTTCATTCACAATGATTTTGCGCAATTTAAATTTTATTAGAAAGCGTAATCCATGTAGTTTCCAAAAGTTTCCTGGGAACTTTCCAACATGTACAGGTTGCAGAGATAAAAATGAAAGAACGAAAACATCCAAAATTCGGAATTTTTAAGCAAGAATTCTAGAAATTCAGAAACAGTGCGAAAAAATCCAGAAAAGCCATTATCCTAATTTCTCTTATATTTGATTACTATCTGAGTCAAGTTTGTGCTGCTGGAGCACTTCTTTTAGAAGTTATGAATTTTTGAAAAAAAAATGCCAAAAAATCCATTTCTTAAGAATTCTTAGGAAATTGATTTTTCGGCATTTTTTTCAAAAAATCATAACTTTTGAAAGAAGAGCTCGATCAGCACAAACTTAACTCAGTTAGTAATCAAATATAAGAGAAATTAGGATAATGGCTTTTCTGGATTTTATCGCGCAGTTTCTAGATTTTTGGAATTGTTTCTCAAAAAATCCGAATTTCGGATGTTTTCGTTCTTTCATTTTTATCTCTGCAACCTGTACATGTTGGTTCCCAGGAAACTTTTGGAGACTACATGCTTTACGCTTTCCAATAAAATTTGAATTGCGCAAAATCATTGTGAGAGAAGGAAGTTATGATTTTTTGAAAATGGTGCGAACGAACTTTTGGACCAACCTAATATATAATATACAATGATCGCCAAAAAGTTGCGGACAAGTCGTCCTCCTTTTTCCATTGTTCATTTCAGATGAAAAACAAGGATGAAAAAATGATTGGATTGCATGTGAAGATAGACCTCTTCAAGAGCTGCAACCCACACATTGCGCTTTCTAGAAAATATGAATTGAAATAAAATATGAAAAACTAAAAATTTTAAGAATCATTTTCTAAAATAAAATCCGAAAATGGCCGCGTCACAATGCCGCGGACAATGATTCTTCGAACGCGAGAATTTTTTCAAGGCATCTCAACAAAGCTCTTCGGATAGGATGAATGCTTTCCGCCATCCTTCAAGCATCGCAGATGTGCTGGTGAGTTTCTTGGCTGAAAATAACACCTGACAGTGTGTGCATATGACCCTACCTGCACCTCACCAGTGGCTTGCACCGCTTTGCATGCTTGTAGCTCAGTCGTCGGGCATTCTACGAGCTTGTGTGTAAGCGCATTCGAAAGAGCGTGACTTTCTCGACACGATGGTATGCAAATAACTTGAGTT